TATAATGCATATATAAAGAAATTCATGCAAAATTGATCGAATGTATATATGTATATACTTATTTAACTATTGCATATATGAGGACGACGAAATTATGAAGATATATTGATGTAATATTCGATCAATAGCAGCGGGATGGTAAGGCTGACACTCGTAACAATATTAAAATAGTCAACAATGCTATCCTTACACCTTTGCCGCCACTATCCTACTACACCAGACGTGTATCGAAAAAATGTGTTTCAAAAAAACGTATGTTTCCAAAGAATAGCCTACTTTTAAATAATATCACTATTTTGATTTTCCGTATTTTTAATTAAGAGTGCTGAATTTACGAATTAGAATTTTTGCAACAAAAATCATCGAAATACGCATAAAAGAAATTCAAGTACAGTGTGATGAAATTATTAGCTACTTACATCGTAATAAATTATTAATTACACATTTTAATTTAAAGTAAGTTAACTCACGAAACAATATAGTCGCAATTATTGCAACATTTGAATAAATGTTCTTTCTCGATGTTGTTGAATTGTGGAGGTCTCATCTCTTACAACAGCTACAATAATTATGTACAATATCTCTGCGAAGTCTTGTAATTTACGATATAGATGAAAGATAAGACTAAAAGTTCTAAATATTCTAATCAAAAATTGAATTGTTTTAACTTATGTGGAATTCCTAAGAAGTGAAGTAGAATTGGAATTAGAAAGACAATTAGACTGTCTATTCATGCATCCAACTATCTAAATAAGTAACAATTTACCATCCATCTCTATTCATCATTCATCCATCCATCCCACTTTGTATTTTTTTCACATTGAAATAAATTATTCATGACAAACAGATAAACTGATAGACAAATGGAAGGATGAATAAATAGATACATAGATGGATGGATGGATGGATGGATGGATGGATGGATGGATGGATTGATAAGTTTGTAATACTACGTACGTAGATGCATGAATGGAGTGTATGCTAATACTTGCAGCGACTTCCCATTTGGTGCGCTCCAACTCCCTTTTATTGAAGAACAAATTTACTTCATCACAAGACGGGGGTTAAACTGCCTTAAATCGGTGTCCAACTAACAGGACAATTTGTGTGACCTTTGGTTGATGATTTTTAAACTTCAACCAAATTCTTCAACCCACTGGCAGTTTTTTTTTTTTTCACATAAATTACTCTTCCACGTCTATCACAGCTGGTGTCACTGCTTTGGCTTGCTTCTCTCTGTGCTTCCCAAATGAGTGAGTGAGTGAGAGTCATCAATCAAAGCAAGCAATACAAATTTTCTCTTCACTCATTTTGAATTTTTTTGCTCATTTTTTTCCAAATATTTGCATTTGTAAGCAACTATTATACTAAATCTAAAGTATTTGCCACCTTCTGTTTATTTTACTAACAATAGAACTCACTGCTTTTATTCTCAAGCTTCTCAGTAGCAAATAAGTGATAAATGATTCAGTCATATCTAAGTTGTTTATAGCATTTGAGAATTCTGCATTATTTACTTTTCTCAAATTTCAACTCTTAAATTTTTGTATATGAAATATTATAAGCACTCAATCGTGGTTGCAAATTGGGATTCAGGTTAGTCTATGAGAAAATCATATGACTGAGATCGAGTGGTATTTATTAGTGCGATATAATCTAACTCGTGAATATGTCAGGTGAGTCAAATGAAATAGTTGTTAATAGCGAGAATAAGCATAGTGTATAAACGACTCATGTGGTTAAGTTTAGTAATTGTTTAGAAGATGTCATGGCGGAAGTCGATCAACTAGGATTTAGAAAACAGCGATGAATGGAAAGAAGGAAGGAATTTTTTACGGAATGCCAAAAAAGTATTGTATTTGCGAAAGAGTAATAAAGTGTGTGTCGTTTTCGACAAAAATTTTATGCATTTACAGTCATTGCCGGCAGCTATTATTTGCATAAGTTGTGGAAAGGCTTTATTCTATCGCATTCAGTGTATGCAAGAGAAAGTAAATAGTGTCAGTTGGCATTGTTGTTTTAACTATTTCTTTCTTTCCTTTTCTCTACGGCATAGAGTAAGTAAATTTGCAAAAGAAAAATTCATGCTATATTTTTTAAATTTTTATGTCAACATCAGCAAAGATAAACGAGCTTCATTTAAAGTCACTGATAATACTGTTTATGCAGAATAACATCACTCGATACAGGTTAGAAGAACTGTGTCTTGGACTTTTAGTCTTGTCAAGTTCCACAAAGAGAACAAGTAAAACGGTATTACACCATTAGTTGTAATCAATTCACACTTCAAAATTAACTTTAACTTCAAAGTAGTTTGAATGGTAATGAGAAATTCACATCCATTTATGACCTAAATGATTTATGAAAAGGAAATATGGAGGATGATAAAGAAAAATAAATAAAAGTACTAGCTTAGTAATTCACACTTAAGTAGTAAACCTGAAGTAGTCTCCACTAGTTTCTTCTTCGATAGTCATTCGACGACTCATACGTGGCCGCCCTGCACAAATTTTTGCTGCATAATTTGGATAATCTGCATCCATCAGTTCGTCGTTTGCTTCTTCCGATTCCATTCTTTGATGATGGTGATGTCTTGGAAATATACTGAATTCTTGTTGATGTTCGGTTCCAGATTCTTTATCTGAATAACTCTGCTGTTGCTTCAGATTATGTTGGCTTTTGTTTGTGCGATCGTCTCTCTGTAAACTGTCAAATAATCACGTGAACTGGAGACAACACTGATTTTTTACAGGAAGTACACGCAAGATATTAATTTGCAAGGCAATTTCAGATTCATAGTCATTTGGATTTTTCTCTTATACAATGAATATCTGGTGTAACTTTTTCATTTTGAATAACCTTCATCTTTAAATATGATTCTACGAAATTCGATTATCATTGTTACTGCTACAGCTCATACTAAAATTGTTAATTGTTAATATTACTTAGAGATTCATCGGTATATGTGAACATAAAATTATTCTTGCAGCAATTTTGCTAGATTAGTATGCAACTTGTTATCTCTTTAAATTCTAAAAAACAGTGTAGTCAAATTTTTCCATACACAATTTTACGATTTTGAAGTGAGTAAAACAATTCTTGAAGACAAAAGTGTAAAGTGTTTGAATTACATGCACACATTTTATTCCCTTCTCTACAAATTGCATTTATTCAGTGGAGTACTCTCTGGTTCTCCTCGTAGACAATTATTCTAAATGTGGAGATTCTCTGAAAATAAAAACAGGAAAAAATCGTAGCTATCAACTTTTTTAGGCAAATATGTATGTGCTATATACAATTACTCTACATCTTCAGACAGCAGTTCCCACGTTATACATCACCGCTCAGTTTTTATCTAAGTAAGAAGCTATGTGACGTTTACCAATACCTGATGTTAGCCTAAAATTTTTTAGACAGGCAATGAAATAGATATATAGATGGAGGGTGAATCCTTGAAAACGCCAGTATTTGAAAAGTGTATGAATATTAAAATGAATAATATAGGTGGAGAATGAAGCTAGCCTTTAAAATAGATTACTAGTACAGTACTTATTGACCTACAAAATTTCCAGCTTTAGTTTTAATTTAAATGAAAATTTTTGCATGACAATTGTGACAGTCCTTTGTATTGGTGCAGGGGAAAATATTTGAGGCGTAAATCTGTAATGTTTACGGGAATAAATGATAATCCGAAGCAGAATTTAATGACCTGTGATAAAGAAATTACATCATAAGCAAATTTGTAGAAGTCAGTACTAACTTTAATTATTCCCATGTAATTCCAAATACGTTATGCATATTTTAATCAGTGATAGTAACCAATAATACTTCCACTTTTATTAAATAAATAAAATATAAGTAGAATGATTCAAAAAAATATGGATATTTTAGCAAAGAGAAAATATGTCAAAATAAAGTAATAAGACTATTCATATATTCGTAACACACTACCGCATTTCTAAAATAATATAATAGTCTAAATATAAAATTTTGCTATTTAACTTAAAAAACATCTATTGCTTCATTTATAATATTTAGAAGGAATGCATTTAGTTTAGAGCAATTAAAAAAACTTAAAATATTTGCATGACGTAAAATTGACTCGCAAAGTTGTGAAGTTATCAAGTAAACTTATTAATTTGTTTTATAATGTAATTACTTAATTCAGTGCCAAATTACTTTATCTGAAATTCTTGCTGTTACTTATCACGTGAGTAATCTGTACTTTTATTAATTTTAGACGATATATGAAAATCATTATTTGCAATCTAAATATTCCCAATGAATTCTGCCCAATTAATTGGTAATATTTGATTATATTTTTCAGAAATTCAATTATTCTTTAGCATAGTACGAAATTAAATAGTGCTTTTTAAAAAAACTCACTAAACTACTTGTTTTAAACTAAATATTTATAATTATATTTTAAAAAACAATAAGGACAATGCTAAAGATTTTTGACAAATTTTTCCTCTTCATAATTTCAACAAATTTGATGCGAAAAAATTTTTTTGTTCATTTACATCAATTCATGCAATATAATTAAAAAATTTTCAACAAAAGTTGTGGGATATGGAACTGTTCACTATATGAATATCAAAAATTTTATAAAAGTACTGAAGTAAGAATCAACATTTATGCAAGGCCAAGATGATTTACTGACAAGATAGAAACGTAAAATGCCATTAAACAGAGCAGATAATTTAACGTTGAGAGCTTTACTTCGTGATTCCAACTATACGACTATTCACAAAGCTGTTGGAGCTGGCAGATGTGAGATTCTTGTGGAATTCTTTCTGCTAAACCACTTAAGTACAATTTACGTGTTTACCCTTTGGAAGCTTAAGTAAGACAATCGTTTTAGCTAATTCATTGATACCTTGCAACGGGATCTGTAACTTGACTTGAGATTAGATTCAACAGCTGTCATGACAACTGCTTCAAGAGCATGATCATCATGCTCTTAGTGACTTTTGGAACAACAACAAATTCATCACCATTCATGAAAGGATATTTTACTGATGCATGCATTCACAACAGATGTTATTCCCTTAATTTGTCAGCGATATGTGGGAAATATGATCAAACTAAATTATTCACACTTTTCATCAGAAGAATATGTGAAAAATTAAAAATTTTGATCCCAAAAATATGATCTTAATTCATGGAAAAATCAATTAATGGTTGAAATAAAAATTTTAGAAAGAATCGATCAAGAATGTGGAAAAGAAACTTTTAGAGAATGATGAGAAGTATATGCGTATAAAAGTTAGTTTCTGTCAGGAAAGAGGCTGATTACATGAATATAACTGAATATCAGACAAGTGTTAGTTCAATGTTTGTTTCAGAAGGCTGTGACCTTTGTTGTTAGAGTCTTTTGGCATATTTAAGGCGTAAAGTTTATTCTTATGAAGTTTGCAGGAAATGAATGGAAGAGCTAACTAAGACTGAGTGGTGTAAGTTTTGTTTATTGATTATCTGAGATTAAATTAAAGTAAGTCAAATGACAAAGAGATATTGATTATTACTTGTTCCATTGATAAGAAAAAGTGTGATACTTACCTTTCTCCAACTTCTGCATCGAGAAAAAGTAATACCCATTTATATAATAAATGGATATTATTCTTCTTTATACTTTGTAAATTCAGATTTTGGTATTAATTTGTGAAAATCAGTACAATTGATAAGTACTGATAAACCAAAAAGAAGTACAAATAATAGCAGAATCAAAATTGTTTGAAAGGATCAAACTGGTATCATCCAATAAAGATTGGCATAGAATTTATGCAGATTTAATAAGCAAGCGAAGAGGATATTTTTTTATGAAAAGCGTGCTTAATTGGAACAGCACAAGATCCTACTATATGTGTAGATAGTCCCATTTTATGCTAGCCATCAAAGTTAGATCGATTTCAGATAAATAGATGGACGGATAAAGCTTTCGATTATGTGTTTCAGAAATATTTTTAGACATTTTTGCTACTATTTTGTGATGTACTCAGATCCTTCAGAAATTATAACTTCATATCAACATGGAACTAGCATGAGAATCTTGATAGAGTTTATCGATCACATTTTAGTCTCTCACTGATAATTATTTTTTTAAAATGCCTTATCCGACTTAAGCTTGCATGATTATGTGTGTAATTAACAAATGCATTTTTTTGAACGTTTACTTAATTAACCTAATGTGAAATGAAAGCTATTAGCAAGACAAATCAAAGATTATTGTAGCTAATTTACAAGTATGCGATCAGTTTAAAATCAGCAGTGTTATTGTGTCATTAACATTGCAATTTTATTTTCATCCCAAGTACTATTACTGTAATATTTTTGCTTTAATTATTGAAACAGACAAAATGCATTTCGTTTTTATCCAAATTTGTTGCAAGTCTCAATATGATTGACTGCTTGCTTGTCTATAACAACTAGATTAGACTATATTGCACTAGACTAAAAGTCGATTAACTATAAAAAACTGACGAAGAAATTAGTTCGTTCATCCAGTCGAAGGGCCTGTGTGGCTTGGACCATAGTCCTCTCTAACCGCTGTGTCATCCTGCCAAATAGCTGAAATATTGAGCAAAATCAATTGAAAAAAAAACGAACTCTTTATTAACTGCAAAAAAAGAAAGGAAAAAATGATAAAAGTGTAAAAAATTTATTACAGAAAAAATGGTTTTGTCAGCAAAAAAACAGCTCTTTGACTGTATGAAATTTGGAAACATTGCAAACAAAGTTGTAATTACAATAGTGCAAACAGTTCTCATTTCGCAGTCAAAGATTTTATCTATTACTGACAGAAGTGAAAAAAATGATGAACTTTGAAAGTAATAAGTTGGAATACGAATGCAAGGGAAGAACGGAATTGAGTGCAAAGTTATATTTTGCATTTGTGTAAAGTTGTAAATAAAATTATGAATACATGTCAAGAGAGCTGTGATGATGAGGTCAGATTTTAGTGTGTATAATTGAGAAGGCAAAAAAAATTGATTATTGTGTGATGATGACAGTAACGAATGATTCAGTGCCTTCTCATTAATTCTAATTATGGATGTGTTTATTATTTAATAAAAAATTTTGGAATGCTTTTTTTGATTCACTCACATCAATAAATTATATCAGACTTTTTATAAATATCTTTTTTGACAAATATGAAATAATAATGATAATAAAACTGTAGTAATTTAATTTTTGAGCTAAATGAAAATTTATTAACGATAATAGCGAGTGATTCAGTGCCTTTTCTTATTAGTTTTTTAATAGAAATAAAACAGATGATAATTTTTTCAAAGATATATTTTGAGTCAACTATCATATTCATAAATTGTTCATTGATAAATTTGAAGAAAAAAAAGGCATACATTATCGGACATTATTTAGATTTGTAATCGCTGAAAGCGTTCCTTTGCGATAAGTTATGATAACTGAAAAGATGAACTTGTAAATTAGCATTGCTATATAAAGTCATAAATTTCCAAAAAAAATTAAGACAGACTTTGGTTAAGAAAATTATACCTATACACTAAGCAAACAAACAATCGTTTGAAATTCATTTTGCTTTTTAAAATATTTATCAGTTTTTGAAGTAATGGCAGTTAGAATAGAAAGTTGCAAGAAAAGGATTTTAGTGTATAAACAAACAAGTCTAAAATCAAAAGCACTGATAGACAAATTAGAATAATCTTAAAAATGAAAATAAGTCAAAGTAGTAGCTTACTCTTTAGCACTTACTTTGATAGCTGTCTTTTAAAATTACATCCAAATGACTTTTTGCAAACTTATGCTTATATTCTATTTAAATATTTCAAAATTATTCTGCATATTTTATTACTTTTTTGAATTTTTATGCTGTAATTTTGAAG